TTTTCTTTCTTCCTCTTTACTTCTTAGAGCGAGGAGTGGGTATCCTTCTTTCAGGCTCGTCCGAGGGGGTTGCTATTCCCTTGGCCGTTAGGGAGTCCAGAAGGGCAGCTGTTAGTCCTCTGGCGCTGGATCGTCCCTTAATCTTGGGGGGTCCTGTCACGCTCCAGACCTACCCGGACACGTCAACAACCCGCTGTATAGTACAAAGAGTCAATCGCAGTCCAACACATCCATACTACAAGGAGTCTTGAATACCATTCACACGTAGTACATCCATAAACAAACATAATGTAAAACATTCATTTAAAGCAGCAGAAACATTAATACAAGTGTTCAAGCCACACTCGGAAAACTTCGGCATATAAGCCCCCAAATAATTATTTAGAAAATAATATCCATGAGTATTTATATAATTGTTTTAAAACATAACAGAAGAAGCACGAACCACGTCTTCTTTCCTTGATCTTTCCGAAGTAACGGGCGATGGTAGCAACCTTCAAGTTATACCTGAAACTGTGTAGCATTTGAAAAGTACAATGACAACTACACTGTATATAATCAATGTTTCAATTTCTAAGACCCTCAATTTAGGGTGATATCATAATATAAATAATAATTTATATTTGCCCCTTATTATCTTCGTAATAAGTTAATTCATTAATTTTGTCGGCACACGATCCTTTCTTATTTTCCATTTCATTCATCGTTTCCACGACACAACCCGTAGGTCTTATTGTTTCTACGGGACTTGCTACCGCTGTTCGAGGCCTCATAGGGTCATCGGTTCGGATTCCAACATCCCGCCCCTAGACTCATACTCATCATCCCGTAGGAAGGTAAGGCCATTCGGGGTCCTATTTTAAGTGTTACCGATTCGGATTCCACCCTACACGTGATCATGCTGCAAGTCCATGTTATCCAAACACGCTCTCTAGAGTCGGGAAGGGCCATGGTCCTTACTTATTATCAAAATTCAACCGGCTATCCTCAAGGACTACCGAACATACCCTAGGTCAATCCTATATCTAGGATCAATTTATTATTCACTTTATCTTGGGCATCCCTTAAGGCCTACCCCCAGTACAACTTAGAGTTCATACATGTCCACCTTAAAGTATCTCTTAAGACTACTTATGGCATAATAATTCACAATCCAACCTTAGGATCAATTCTAGCATAATCACTCATTTAATTTCCGACTAGTATTTCAATACTAGTCGAATGAATCTTAGAACAATCAAGTCCTCCATTCATAGTCATATGGCCGATTCAAACTGATTTCCCAATCAAAAATATAATTTATTCAATATACAACATATCACTTTTCACATGCATATAATTCTTATATAAGTAAAAGTATATTTTATCAATAAGCCTTATAGTTATCCAACCATCATGTCATTATTCCCACAACACATAACATACATAATTTATTCCAAATATGTATATCATGCTCCCTTCCTTTATAGACCATAATCTTCTCATTTTAGGTATTATCATTCATTAATAATCCATACAAAACATATTTAATTACCTTGGGCAATCTTATGAAATTAACTCACTATTTAATTTATAAGCAATATAGTCAGTCATCCTCACCTCGAATGAGCCTTAAGAAGTTCTACCCTTTCTCGGTTGAACTCCGGCAAAACTCCGTCGAACTCCGACGAAGCTCCGGCGACAACTAGGAACACCTCAGTCAAGTTCCTTAATCTCTCACACTTTTCCTATCATTTTCCTTCTTTAAGCTCCTTCTTTGGACCACCTTGGTTTGAGCTCATTTATGGATAATAAAAGTGGAGTGGTGGAGAGTTCTTCTCACCTTGGATGAAGGCTTCGTCCAAATGATGATGGTGGATGTGATTGAGAATGCCTTTTGACATTTCTCTCAATAATACATAAAGGAGGTCCTACCTCATCGTCTTCTTCACCAAGATGCGATTTAGAATATAGATCCTCAAGTAACAAAGATGAGCCCGCCATACTCCAACACTACACACATACGGTAGGAAAAACGGCATAACGCCGGCGGCTAAACCATAAGCTGCACTAGGGGAAAAATTTAGTAGCGGTCATGTTTATTAAGAAAAATGAGTTTAGGTGATTGATATTAAATTGATAAAGTAAAAATAAAGTATAAATGATTTAAAGTCGCACAAAATTTAGTATGAGACAATCTTTGTAATGCCCCAAAATCTAGTCTAATTTTTCAAACACATCAAGTTTTGGATTTTATACGTTTTTCACATTTAGTGTTAAAATTTAAATAGACAATTAAATCCTAAGTTTTTAAAATGATGATGATGATGGTGGTGGTGGTGGTGATGATGATGAAGATGATGATGATGGTGATGGTGATGATGATGATGATATAATAATAATAATATTATTATTATTAATAATATTAACAATATTATTATTATTATCATTAACAATAATAATAATAACAATAACAATAACGATAACGATAACAACAACAACAACAATAATAATAATAATAATAATAAAGTAGCATAAAAATGAAAAACGAAAAATACTATTAACACTTAAGCTGGACAAAATTAAGAAAATGATGAGAACCGTGAGAACAACCAAATTAATTGATTTGAATTATTTGATTGAATAATTATATTGAATAGTACGGAGTAATATTTTAGGAGACAAATTTGACAAACTAAATTAATTAAGACGAAGCATTCATGATGTGTATGCATAGTTAAATAAGGATCTGCATAAGTAAATTGTATTACCATGGTGATACACTTTTTTCAATTTGTTTTTCATAGTTGTATTACCAATTTATGATTTTGTATTATTTTCCTTATTCAAATTCACATTTTCTATTTTCAAAAAGTAAATTGTGATTAATATTTTTACAATTTAGATTTTTATTCTATCTTAATCTAAAAATCTAAATTTTCTATTTATTCCATTTTAATATTTTAAATTTTTACCAATGTAAAAATGTGAATATCTTGAAATGACGATATAAAAATGTTTATCAAAATGTTTACCAAAAGTTCACACTTTTTCTACCAAAATAGTTGAGATTATTATTACCATGGTGATACACTTTTTCTACTTTTTCTTACAATTTCCACTATATCACTTAAAATTATAATATTACTACATTTTCATTAAAAATAGTCAAACCCTCCAAAACCTATACCCTAAATCACTAAAATTAAACGATAAACTATATAATATGATTTATAGAATACAATAATATAAAATAAAGAAAATAGAAAAAAACTAGAAATACTGAAATGGAAAAAATATAAAATTTAGATTTTTAGAATTAAGATAGCATAAAAAATACATAAAATATTAATCATTGTTTACTTTTTGAAAATAGAAAATTTATAATTTGAATAAAGGAAAATAATACAAAATCATAAATTGGTAACACAAGTGGGAAAAACAAATTCGAAAAAAGGAAAAATAAAAGTTGTAGTGAAAATAAATCAAAAAATTACTAAATATATTTTAAACTTTGGTACATTTGTATAATTTTTGTAGATGTGTATACATGTTTAAAAATATTTAGTTTGAAAATTTAAAAAAAAATCTATATCTTTCGAAAATTGAGAGTTGATAGTCAGCATCAATAAAAAATGTCAACTATCGTTGAGATTATTAAAAGTTTACACATAGTTCACATTTAAAATTGACATGTTATACCAGATTGTAACCGATTAGAGATTGTTTTCAGTGGTCCCTATAATTGGGATCACTCGGGAATAATCGATAGTTAAGTTTATTAACGGTGTACCGAGAATAGTTGAGATTATTATTTTCAATTTTTCCTATTGTATTCTATCAAAGTAATTATTCATGATAACAATCAATTTTGATACAACAATTGCATCTATTAAGAAAAAAAATAGGGCTAAGTTGGATGTGTTCTTCATGGTCCTATTCTCCATCCTATCAAAAGATTAGGTGATAATAGATTACAAGGTTCTATAACACTCACATTGACTAGATACTAATGATGATGACAAATGTTATTATATTCAAATATTCAATGATAAATTCTAACTGTGATGTAACATTGTAACATTTGAATACAATTATGGTTACAAAAGTTATCAAAATTACATTTTTATCCACTATTTTTATTCAGGTTAGAGTTGGACTCGGTCCGGATCGGGCCTGGGCCGGGCCTAGGCCCGGCCGAGCCGCCGGTTCTGAATAGATGGGCCCGGGACCGGCCCGGGTACCCACCGGGTCCGGTCCAGGCCGGGTCGAGCCTATTATCAAAAAAAAAACCTCTTCCTAATTAACCCCCCTCTCACCCCCAACCCCCCAAACCACCCCAAATGGCCCAAAATACCCAGCCCAACCCGAAAATTTTAAAAAAAAATTGAAAAAAAAAATCAATTTTGGCCCGAACCGAGCCCGACCGGGCCTTGTTTTGGGTGACCCGAGCCCGGACCGGAATACCCACGGGTCGGGCCTACCCAGACCGGTCACTGACCGGGCCACCGGGTCGGGTCGGGCCGGGCCGGAACAATACCGATCCCAGGCCGGTTCCAGGTCGGGCCACCCGGCCCGAGTCCACCCATAATTCAGGTTATATATTTGAAATTATTTCTTATTATAAAAATACTTCCTAACTCCTAAGTGCACTTTACTTGTAATTTATTAGTAATAATCCCTCCATCCCAAATTGATTTGCAAAGTCAACATTTTTTTATCAACCAATGTTAAAGTTAATCCTTTCCTATTGATAATTAATTCAATTTTTAATAATTAAAATTTACATATTCAAAAACTACATTAAAATCTCTTCAAATTTGCAAACTTCAAATTAGAATATAATAAAAATATGACTAATGAAGTGAATAAAATAAAATTGTTAACCAAGAAAAGTATATTTGGAACGGAGATAGTAGATTATACTACGTAGCATCTCGTGTCAATTTTCCATTTTATTGTTCTAACCATTACATATTCGTTGCCGATATCTCTTGAGTTCTTTGCATATGCCACTAATTATTATTTTATTCAAAGTAGTTCTCCATCTCTTCTCTAATTCTTTTTTTCTACAAATATCATTTGAGAATTTTCTTACATATTAATGATATACTCGGTAAAATTAATGAACGAAATGAGACTGAAATCACTACAAGTATACCAGCACAACAGTTCAGTGTTAAATTGAATGACCATGATTACTATTAGTGATGACCTAAGTTGCCCTGCCTACCAGTCCACCGCTTAGAACATTGTAGCATGTGAATATACCAAAGGAAGACTGACATTGTAACATGTGAAGATGCAACTCAAGCGAAGTGTTTAACAAACACCATCAAATTACACTGTGTGCCCACCTAATAACCCAAGACTGTCCAACGCTCAATATATAAACTGGAAATGAACAAGCACTGGATAGCTTTCAATGGCATCCTCCCAAAATCAAAAGATTCACAAGTAGGGGTTGTATCGCATGAGAGTTTTGGACCTGGGTACCTTTCTGCAACACAAAAGTAATACAACCAATTTTGTTACTATTCCTGACACAAAACTAAAGAAAAGGCCCATCAAAACTCACGAATGGATTCATTACCCGTAACCATATGGATGAAAGTAAAATGGAGCTGCTACACATGGTGTGTGGCCCTGAAAGCACAAACAAGGATTTGCACGTCGCTTCTTCATGCCCGGAACTGCTACACATGGTGCATGGCCTTGAAAGCACAAACAAGGATCTGCACGCCGCTGCTTCATGCCCAGAACTGCTTCACATGGTGCATGGCTCTGAGAGCACAAACAAGGATCTGCACGTCGCTGGTTCATGCCTGGAATATTAGTTCGTTTGCCTTTTACCTGCCATACATTATAGATAGTAATGGAAACAATAAACATGTGTATGTGGAGGAACATGTGGGGGATTCATATTTAAACAAAGAAAACTTCTCATCAAATAGTGTTAACGGACACAGACCTTTCATATGAAAAGGTATGTTGACAAAATTGTAAGTATGAGTATCTTTAATGTGCAATGCATCATTTTATTCATGTATACATAAAAGTGCACTTATGGGTGTTTAAAAACTGTCATCACACTTTTAAAATAATCATATTTTCATTTCAAATTCTGATGCACTTTTGTATGCCTATTTTCATTGAAAACTCTCTATATTTACAATGAGACCACATATTTGGTTAAAAGTGATTTTATTCATCTATCCTCTTACCCCAAATTTTCCATCATTTGCAATGGAGCCAAAGATTCATTATTTTTTGGCTTGATATTATGATGGAATAAAGCAAAATGGCTCACTAAACTGTCTGCGCTTCTTTGTTATGAAGCAGCAATCAGTCCATGCAATTTTGGACTCGATTTTCACTATGGGTCATCCGGAAACAGTCTGTGTTTTAGTACAGGGGTAAGACTGTGTACATCCGACCCCTCTTACCCCACCATAGGTGGGAGCCTTTGCGGCACTGGGTTAAATGAAAATGATGAAAATGATGATCCTCTTACCCCAAAGATCTAAGATGACTTTCATTTTCATCTAAAACGTACTTTTAATTGAACCAAATTATTTATATACACAACATATATAGGGTGTGTCAGCTTCGGATAACCTAATTTTGGAATCATGATATCTCAAATCCAATGCACGAAAATAATTCTCATTTCTCACATAAAGACTACTTTTTATTTTATCCACTATTCAAATATATGGGAAAACTATCAAATTGGCCCCCTTAGTATTTAAAAAAATCAATTCGGCCCTCGAACTAAAACAACACTCAATTGAGACCTCAAACTTTACAAAAACATTTAAATTCAAGATCTAATAGGTTAATAACCGGTCACTTGCCTAATTTTTTTCCTTTTTCACCTTCTTCCGTCAGCATTCCGGGTCTCCCCTTCTTCTCTTCTTCTCTCTTTTCTAACCTGTTCTTCTTTTCTTCCACCGCTAACCTCCCTTCTTCTTCCGTCTTTTTCTTCTTCTTTCTCCCTTTTCTTCTTCCACCCCAGACCTACTCTTCCCTTCTTTCTTGCGAGCAGAGCGAACCCCTAAGCTTCAACAAGGACACGGGAGAGGATAAAGATGGCTGATCTCACCAAATTCATGAACCTGGATTGGGTGTTATAATGGATTTTGTGTACCGTCAAACATCACACATTACTTTGGAATGGCTGAAAAAGTTTGATAGCTTCAGAATTGATGGCTTTACTTCCATGATATATAATCAAAATGGGTTGGGGGGCGGGGGGGTTATTGGGAACTTTAAGGAGTATATTGGATATGTTACTAAAGATCTCGAGCTTCCTCGTTGGCGACGGCCACATGGCTTCCTCGCCGGCGACTTGGACGGCAGAGCTCTTGATCTTCTTCATCGGCGAAGACGACTTCCTCTTCAACACAGGTCATTGGGGGAGGGGTGGTCATGACTACTCGTGAGTGCTTATCTGGGCGGAAGAGCTCTGAAATCCATCCATGGCGGCATAGTTTCTTGCCTAGGAGAAGAAAGAAACAAGGGGAGGGGTGGTCGTGAGTGCTTGTCTGGATGAGCAAAGAAGCAGGGGAGAAAGGATGTTGTATACTCCTATTTGCTTGTTGGAAGAAGAAAGAAGTAGGTGAGGTGGAGAAGATGGGGATTGGGGGCGGCAGAAGGAAAACAGGAGAAAAGGAACGAATCATTAAATTAACCATTTGGACTGCCACCTCATCATAATGAACGGTTAATAGAGAACAAACCTACTAGATTACAAATTTGAGCGTTTTTATAAAGTTTAAGGTCTCAATTGAGTGGTGTTTTAGTTCGGGGGCTGAATTGATTTTTTTAAATACTACGGGGTCAATTTGATAATTTTCTCTCTCTCTCTCTCTCTCTCTATATATATATATATATATAGAGAGAGAGAGAGAGAGAGCGTCAGGCCAACTTCATTCGGATCATATGATAGAGATACCTCCAGGTACACAGTAAATTCACAGAAAGATGAACAGAATTCAAAGAAAACTATTCAAGAAACTTTATTGAAGAAGAACAATTATCAATGGCCGAAGCCCCCAACTGAGCTGAAGCCCCCCCCAAAAGAGAGAGAATAATCTCAATCTTCCCAGAAAAGACTAAACAGTCAATAACAGCCTACCTCACTTCTCCCATCTTATTCTATTTATACTAAATTACTAATCTAGTACATTTATTATTATTATTGGTCTATTAGGCCCAATTCCTAACAGTCTATTAGGCCCAATTCCTAACAATACTCCCCCCTAAACATCCACCTTGCCCTCAAGGTGGGCGATAGGACACAGCCACCATCTTCTTCTTTTCCTTCATCCTAGCACCTCTCCCTTTCCAATACTGGATGGATTGCTGGACTTTTAGTTTTGCTGCTTCCATCTTCTTCCCTATGTATTTCACAGTAGAGTTACACAGATGCCATGACATTTGTTTTTGCAATTTGGTTCTTTCAGATTCTGTGGAGGTGAAGTCACATCCTGCTGCAACACCGATGACAGCAACTTCTTGCTTTTGAACACTTTCTTCTTCAATATCAATAGATAACTCATGATAGTTCAGCAATTTTCCTTCTCTCTTATTTACCAAGCTCTTCGTCTCCTTATTTATTCCTAGTTGATGATCTCCTTGTATACTAGCCTTCTGCCCCTGTACCTCCCATTTGATGGTCTGATTTTGAAAGTTAACTGCCATATCCCCTAGGCCAGTTAACCAGCTCATTCCCAGCACTACATCCACTTCCCCCAATTGCAGAATGTAAAATTTCTGCAAAATTTCATTTCCTTGTACAACCACTGTTAACCCATCACACCTACCATAGTTGGGAAGAAATTCCCCATTCCCTATCTGCACTTTATTCCCCTTAATGCAATCAAAAGGTATCTTCCATTCCTCAACAATCTTCTGTGAAATAAAAATGTGAGTAGCTCCACAATCAATCAAAATATGTACCTTCTTTTCCTCAATCAGCCATTTCAGATTTCCCAGGACTTTAAATGTTCTCATGAGTGGCATTCCTTCTTTGTTCAACACAGATAATTGCATAGTCTTAGCTTCCATAAGAATTCCTTCTTCTTTTTGTTCTTTACTAAAGTCAGTATCAGATTCCTCCTCCCCTTCAGATTGTTCTACCATCATTATTTTAAAATTTTTCATTCTACAAATGTGACCCCGATTCCAGTTTTCACCACATTTAAAACATAACCCTTTCTTACTTCTTTCTTGCAGCTCATTCTGTGATAATCTGGGGCTTGTATTCTTAGAGACAGAACTTGATCCTTCTTCCAGCTTCTTGTTACCATCTGAGTTCTTCATCAATTGATTTGTAGATGTCAGATTATAACTATTTCTACTACCATCTCCCCATTTATGATAGCTCTGTCCACCTGCTGAATTTATTTTCAGGATCTTCTTTCCCTCATCTTTATTCTTTATGATGTTGGCTTCATGGTTCTTGTTTTCAATCAAGGAAGCTGTGTCCATGACAGCAGCTAGGGTTCTTGTAGCATATAATTTCAATTCAGCCCTTATATCTCGTTTCAACCCATTGAGGAACACTCCTCTAAGTACCTCCTCAGTCAGATGCCCCTGCGAAGCTATAGCAACTTCAAATTTCTCTGTACTCCTTCACCGTCCCTTTTTGCTTCAAACTAAACAAAGATCCCAGAGGATCCTGCACCAAATCTGGTTGAAAACGTTTGCTTAGATCCTTCGTAAAACTCTCCCATGTCTGGTGACGAGCCTGGCCTTCCCACCATTGGAACCAGCTCAGTGCCTGGTCTTCCATGGCTATCACGGCAACATCAATTTTGTCTTCTTCCTCTGTATGATTCAGGTGGAAATAACGATTCATTCTTACCAGCCATCCAATAGCATCTTCTCCGTTAAAAATCGGTAAGTCAATTTTTCTTCCAGATCATTGGTGGTGATCATGTCCCCTGCGGCGATGGTGGTGGCGGTGCGGTGGTGAACGGTTGTCGTTCCCTTCCGAGTTCTCAGAACTCGCTGAGTGTCGAGACTGATGATGGTGAGAAGTGTGATGCGATGCACATGAGCGATGCGATGCAGATGAGCGATGCGACCTATTTCTCGATCGATCTCGATCGCTTGCATCCAATCTGGCCATAATCGTTGCCAACATCTCCGTCGTTTGTTGATGATTCCAATCCACCTTATCATCCAATCTGTTGTGGTTATTCTCCAACTCATTCATCCGCAAATCAATCTTTGTCCGTGTCCAGAACATCCACAGAATCTACGTGCTCTGATACCAATGATAGAGATACCTCCAGGTACACAGTAAATTCACAGAAAGATGAACAAAATTCAAAGAAAACTATTCAAGAAACTTTATTGAAGAAGAACAATTATCAATGGCCGAAGCCCACAACTGAGCCGAAGCCCCCCAAAAGAGAGAGAATAATCTCAATCTTCCAAGAAAAGACCCAAATCTATTTATACTAATCTAGTACATTTATTATTATTCTTGGTCTATTAGGCCCAATTCCTAACAGTCTATTAGGCCCAATTCCTAACATCATACACCACTTTCGGCAAAAAATGAAGTTGGCCTAATATGAACGCTACTCTATGTGTGGGTGTGTCTGTGTGTGTGTATATATATCAAGATGACACTGTTTATCACACCATAAGCTGGCATACGTGAAGCTCAGATCCATTTAGAAGAAGAGCCTTGTGAACAGATTCTTGCTACACAAGAATCATTCTCTTTTTGGGGTCATGATATCTCAAATTGATTGCATGAAAATCATTATCATATCTCACATTAAGACTGCTTTTTATTTGATCCAAAATTTATATATGGAGAGAGAGAGAGTAGCGCTCAAATCAGTAGCATCAGGCCAACTTCATTTGGACCATACACCACTTTCGGCCAAAAAAAAAGTTGGCCTAATATGAACGCTACTGTGTGTGCATCAAGATGAGCCTTATTTATCACACCTTAAGCTGGCGTCCGTGAAGCTCAGATCCATTTAGAAGAAGAGCCTCGTGAACAGATTCTTCCTCAACGAATTCAACAAATGCATATCCCTTTGGCTTCCCAAACTTATCGGTCCTAACAGTAACCCTATTAACTGTACCACATGATACAAAATGCTGCTGTATTTCCTCAGGAGTGCATTCATAATCCACCTGTGGAAAACTAGCAATAGATAAGCAACAAAGTACAAATCATGAGTGTTGGACTCAGGCCAGAGAAGAACCCCAACCAACCAACCACAATCATCATCACATTCTAATAAAGTACTTGGCTGGTTCAACTTACTTATTGGTTCAATTACTACAAAGAACTAATATGGGCAAAAACGGAAACCTTTTAAAAAGTATTATCTCTACTGACTATATAAGAGACTATGATCTATTTATCAAAAAGTGCAAGTTAAGCATTAAAAGCAAGGAAAACACCTGAGGAGTTAAAAGGAAGGGGGGAAAATAGCTAAACTGCTAAAGAGATGATTCTAAATTCTATTGAGTCTCAAATGTGTAGAGAGAGTATTTATTCAAAATTACATGCAAAGTCTTCAATTTTTGGAACTATTGTATTTAAAATAAACATTAAAGAAGAAGGGGAGCCTTGGTGCACCGGTTGAGGTGTTGCTGTGTGACCGGGTTCAAGTCTTGGGAGCAGCCTCTTGTCAAAAAGTTTGACAGGGGAAGGCTCACTCCTTATACACTCTGGTGGTGGGACCCTTCCCCGGACCCTCACCTTGTGGGGATGCCTTCGTGCACTGGGCTACCCTTTAAATAAACATTAGAGAATAAATGTAGGAATGCAGTTCTTTGCGTCAAGAGAAATTTGAAATGTTGCATCAATGAGGAAGAACAAATTGTCTCTTTGTGCACATCAAAGTAAGGCATCATTCAACTGCCATAGGGTAGGGAGAAGTAGGATTTTAGTAAGGTTTGAAGTTACAAAAGACGGCAGTGCAATTCAACATTAAAACACTTGCCTAAAAATGCATAGAATTTCTTAAATTTGGAGTACAAGCACATTAGAACTCACTTATCTATATCGGCAGTTTGTATCTATGCCAATCAGTAAATGGATGTAGCCAATAAGCTGAGCACAAATCACTCAGTTTAGATAGTTTTACTCATCAAGGATGGTACTCTCAGCTAGTTTTGCATTATAGAGATAAATTGTCAAAATAGGTTTGACTTCTACAAAAGTGTGTTAACACTTGACAGAACATCTAATTTGACCTACTTGTCAATAATGATATTCTATAATAAAAAAGCATTCAGTTGAAGCTCATTTACATTCCTTACATTACAAGATGCAAGAAGACTTCTCACATTGTGTATGATATAGACAAAAGTAGAAATCTCACATTGCCAACAAATATAGAACGAGCGTCCACTTCTTCCTTATCCGCCTGGTCTGCAGCATCAGTATCAGGGTCTGGTTGTAAAATCAAATGTCAATGAAATAATAAACTAAACAAACACCGTGCAATACCACCACTTCTTCCACGAGCACGCCGTGTAAGCACATAACCCTTTAAGAAAATCAACTTTTTGCTTAAATTGAAGATGATATGAAGTAGAAGAAGAAGTAGACTAGAAGAAACTATCAACACTCGAAATCGAGAGGGAAAAGTCAAAAATAAACCTTGCACGGCACCCATTTCCTTCTCGACTTTCTTTTTGTGAATAAGTTCGGTCTCGACTTTGGCCTGCAATTCGCGGAGAGCCGCCTGCTCTTCTTCCATCTCCTTCAATCTCTTCTTTATTTTATTCAGTTCCTGTATAAAAACGCCAGTAAACATGTATCCGGGAGTTAGGATACGACCGATCAGAAACTCCAGGAGTGTAGTAGCATTGGAGAAGAAGAGAATCAAGAAGAGAGAGAGAAACCACGGCTGGTCCATCTGTAACCACAGACGTCTCCCCGTAATCGGACTCGATCCATTTTTTCGCCATTCGAAACTGCCACTTGGAGTCTTGGGCAGCCATGAATACTCGACCCCAATTTATTTGCCTTAGTTTGGTCAGGACCGCTCGGATCAGAGCCTCTGCCCGGCTTTAAAGCCCTGTTTGGTTCAAAGGAGGGGAAGGAAAGGGAGAGACGGAGGTAGAGGTGGGAACTGAAGGATTTTGTCAGATGTTTGTGTCTATTAGGGGTGGGCATGATTGGTTAACCGCACTTTGGTTAACCAATTTTCGGTTAACCGTGATGTTGGTTAATATAGTGTTAATGTCATTATCCGTACCGTAACATTGGTTAACCGATACTCGGTTAACCAAAATATCGGTTAACCACTAATTGGTTAACCAAAAACCATGAAAAGGAAAAGAATAAAGTCATCAAACTACTCCGTATTAAACATTTGATTTGTTAAAAAATACATAAGCATTTCAAGATTAAATAAGAAATTTTATATAGCAGAAACTTTTCCAAAAAAAACTCCCGGCTCCGAAACTTTAATTAGCCCGTATACACCGTATTATCTTTCCATGTGTACTACTACTTTTCCATATTATATGTTCCTATATCTATGTATTTATACGGTTATTAGGTTAATTATACTATTTATATACGTATAGCACTAAAGAAAATGTATACATTTCAGTAGCTTATGTACGGAGTAATTGATTGTAAAGTGTGTATATTATTCCACTATGCATGCGTGAACGTGAATATACATACACCAAAATTCCAAAAATGATACAAAGTGTTCACTTTCCCGTCCCCGTACCTTTGTCGAAATTTATTGTCCGTGTGTAGTGTTTGCGTATAATCCTACGGTTACTGGTTAACCGGTGACATAATTTCCAAAACCGTAACCGTACCGCTAACCATTTTTCCCTCCCGGTTGGTTAACCGTACCGTGAGTTTTAAAAATTCCGGTACGGTTAACCGAAAAAGACACCGGTTTTCCGGTTTTTCGGTACGGTTAAACGGTTACGGTTTTTTGTGCCCACCCCTAGTGTCTATGTTTAAAGAAGCAAGACGAAGTGACGGGGCCAAGCTACCGGGCACGGGTCAACCCAGATCCTATAGGATTAACCTCGTCAATGATATAAAACGGTTTAACCATTTTACAAAATTAGAATAAAAAGTATTAATTTCATAATAATCAACTAATGATAATATTTACTAAACACTTAAAAGTTAAAAAAGTTTCATAATATTCCAAAATATTATTTTGATCTTATTAAAATATATAAATATATTCTTTAAAAGGTATTGAAATTGCAATTTTATTGGTTAAAATGCTTTAAAATTTAAAAAATAAAAAATAAAATAACAAAAAAACGGGTTTTCTGGGTTCGGGTTTGAACCGGGTTGTGGATCGTTGCGCTTACCGGTACACTAAAAGCAATCGGTGATAGTGAAGCACGCTCCTCCCCCTTTATAGCACAAGCGAAGCACCACGCGGTCCGATTGCACCGGCAGGCTGGCTGTTGCTGGCACCGCATACCCGCGACCCAACAATCTCCCCCCAGCACCTGTCAGCCTACAACTGCGCAGCATGCTGTTGACGGGGTCGAACCCGTGACCTTGGCTCTGATACCACTTGTGGATCGTTGCGCTTACCGCTACACTAAAAGCAATCGCTGATAGTGAAGCACGCTCCTCCCCCTTTATAGCACAAGCGAAGCGCCACGCGGTCCGATTGCATCGGCAAGCTGGCTGTTGCTGGCACCGCATACCCGCGGCCCAACACGGGTTTTGCCGGGTCGACCAGATTTTTCTGATTTTTTATCATTTCCGGATTTTCAATTAACCGAACCGAGTTTCGGTCCCGGTCGGTTGGTTTTTTAAACATAGGTTTGTGTTTGAGGACCATCTCTTTTCCCTATTATTGGACACATTTGTCCTCTCCTCTTTCACACGGAATATATATTTCATATTTCTTATTTGGGAAATAGGTTTTTATATTTCCTTAAATTTTGAAAATACTCAAATTCCTAAGGATTACACGTTCTAGCTACAATCAAACAACTATTATGTATATATTTGTAACACATTATAATATTCTTGTAATTTTTTATAATTTTCTTATACAATGGAGGATGAATCTAAAAATTATATAAAAATTGTGTCTTTGATTTTCAGACGTATCAGGCATTTATCTATCTTAATTGATATTAGTCACTTCGTCTGTCTCACTGTCTGTATTTCAATTCTTCTTTTTGATTTGTTTCATTAAGTCTGTCGTATACAATATTCGATAATATTTTGATGGCGATATATACCTTTTCATTCATCTGTATATTGAATATTTTTTATTCTATTACCATCTAACTATTATCAACATTGTTTAGAATGTTTTTACTTTAACTGTACTGTTTTAGATCACATAGCTGACCAAACAAATTTTGATAGGTGTCTTGGAAAACACACACACAAGGCAGAGCACGGGTCGGGTTCGGGCGGATCAGGTTCAAAAATGGGAAATTTGTTCGGGTATCGGATTGATAATTTCAAACCTATCAAAAAATTTGTTGAGTTTTTCGGGTTGAAGAAATTCGGGTTGTGGTCGGGTTGATACGGTTTTCGGGTCCATTCGGATTTTAATTTATTATTGTTGAAATTGTGATAAATAAACTGGTAATTGGTAAAAATATCATTCAAACTTATACTAGTATAACATTCAAAGTAATAGTTGTATAAATACGGTAATCGACATATTTGAACATGTAAAATAATAATATACGGTGATTGACATATTTGATATTGTGATAAATAACATGATAATTAGTCAAAATATCATTCAAAGTCATAACAATACAACATTCAAAGTTATAGTTGTACAAACACGGTAATACGAATATTTGAACATGCATAATATGGTAATTGACATACAAAAATTGATATATTTGAACATACATAATAATTCAAAAGAGTATATATCTACACTAGTTCGATTTTTTGGGCGGGTCGGTAGCATAATTGGTAACCCTACCCGCTAACCGCTTATGTATCGGGTTGCAAGAATCAGATTGGGTATTTCGGGTCGGGTTTTCCGACCCCAACAACGAAATCAGATATATCCGATCGGGTAGGGTCGGGTTTGCTCTCTCACACACACACAAACATACATCTAACAGGGCAAACCGGTTTAGACTAGACTAGATTAAAACAAGGTTAAACACAACAGAAAAGATAAGATCATACCATATTAGACTATATCAGTAAATTTTAATCCAATTAAAAACAACTTTATTCAAATTTCTGTAATGTCTTCTTAAAAATTAATGGTGCATGGAGTCGTTATATCGTACTACCGGTTGTACGTGTGCGGTGAGCATCGTACAACCAGTGACATTTTTGTAATTTAACTGAAAATCGCATCTTCGGTTAAATGAACATTAAGTCACTTTTAGTGAGTATCAAACATATTCTATTTATTATTAGAAGTTTAATATTGAACATCGTGATATCTACTTCACATATTCTAATCTATTTTATTTTTCTTAATTTTTCTCATATAAAAACTCATTAAATTATACTTCCTCCGTTCCATAAAAGTTACAACATTGGAATTTCTGCACTATTCACACACCTTACTTTGACTATGATTTTCTAATAATATATATAATAAAAATATTATGTATAAAATATTAGTAAATTTGTATTAGTGTAAATTTCCAATATCTTGACTTTTTTTAATGTTTACTAATACGTAAATAAATATAATTACAGTCAAAGTTGCGCGTTGGCAAACGTGAAAGTCAAACTGTTGCAACATTTTATGGAACGGATGATAGTATCAATAATCAACTCTTATGAATTCCAATATGTGAATCTAATGAAATATGGCACTTTTGAATTTTTTTAAAATGAGCATAACATCAGTGCTAAATGAGCATACGTGATTTACTAAATACGCATTGGTATGAAAATAGTAAGACATGTTAACTTAACATCAAGACATTTTCACTGGCCATCAAACCTCTTTTATTGAGATGAAAATCATTGTTTCTGTTAAATGAACATTAATGAACGTTTAATGATCATCATACCTATTATGTTGAGCAATAGAAGTCTAATATTGAATTTCAAAAGTCTAATTCATTTTCTTTGTTTTATTTGTTCTTTTATAAAAAATTCTTAAATTTTATATATAATCAAATCATATGAATTCCAATATAGAATCTAATTTATTATTGAACTTTTGAAATATAAATTCATATGAAAATGGTAAGTTTTACCCATTAGGCATCAAGTCTCCTCTATTCAACATTGCAATTGAGCATAACAACTTCAAAACCTATTGTACATCAAAACATCTTCATTGAAAAGTTAGTCGTAATAGTGCTTAACTTAAAACATTATATCAGTGTACATTCTGTGTAAATATTGTACTCATTTGGGTATAACATAAAACTCATTTTTTATACTCAATTTATAATGTTGCTCATTTCTTTGAAAGGTATACTCTCATGTGTATAACATAAAACTCGTTTCTATAACTCACACATGTAATATATTCATTACAAATAAATTAAAATAAATCTTTCTTAACAATACAACTCAAACCAATTTTAACACGATACACATTATAAAATTGGTGAATGCTCACTTTAAATGTAATGATAGATAAATATAACATTAATCGCTCAAAATATCAAATAAAATCCTTTAATAGTTGAATCCAATATATAAAAACCAAACATAAAATCTTATAGCAAATTGTTTAAGCATAAAACTTATAAAATAACAAGCGAAATCAAGAATTCCTTAATTCACGTAGCATAAAAGCTATTTAAATCAATGCAAAACAAAGAACTATCATGCAAAATAAATTATACATAGTCAATACTTTATTCAAACACAACAAAGTTTATTTACAATTTGCTCAAGAAACGAACAGAAATTCACTTCGGAATTTTTACTAATAGCGTGTGAGCATTACCATTTAGAAGATAATTTTAATGAGACTAGGAGACCGTTACTAATTAAATAGAGCGATGTGGATGTTTCATTCAGGTTATCATTCCCTTTATTGTTTTTATAATTCAAATTGAGCCAATTTTAGGAAGAATTTGATAAGCATTGAAATAAAGAAAAAAATGGAAGAGAGATGTCTAGTCAACTGTCCAAGTGTGCAAGGAGCATTCAAGGGGGAGAACATGGTGCATGAAGTTCAAATGAATCTATAAATATTAGACTGAAACCCGTACAAAATATAATTATACCCGACTGTACCATGCATATGATACACTCGTGTGGTTCGTGCATACAGAGTATAATTTAGATTGTTAGTTTTTTTTACCTCGGAAGACAACTCACCAAAATGAGTGGGGTAAATGTCGAGGGACATTTACCGAAATTTTATTGATATATCTTCATATGTCTCAAGTTTTTATATTAAATGTAAATAACCATAATTATTTTTTTGATCATTTATAAAGTGATATAATGTAACAAATATTTTCACTTAAACGCGTTTCAATATCATACTAGACTACATTACATCCAACTCAGATATTAGTAACACATGTAGTAAACTAGACTAGACTACATCAAATCAGAACATAATTAAATAAATATGAATGTTTAGGTTTTCAGGGTTATTTTAAAACGACTTTTGTGCTTTGAAACACGAGAATCTAGGTCAGTTTACAAATAGAGATTTTTTACATTCTTTTAATGTTTTCTATTCTCCAGTTTTATGTTTTTATTTTCCAGTTTTTCTATCTCCAATTAAAATGGAGATCGTCGGGTCGTTGATTGGACTGAACATGGACTATTGGGTCATTGACCAGATCGGACTAGAACTGACACCGAAACAGGACCAGATTCACCACCAGACGCAAGTATGCAAATTAATTGCAGCGACACTGCAACGTCCTCGTATTTTAAATTTGAAAAATTAAAAAAACTCACTTCTCCAAATCATTAAGGAAATAGAGATATATCTCATTTTTGGTTTTGGAAAATGATTTGGTAAAATCATTTTTCTGTTTTCTTTCTCCAACTTTTCAGCAAAATTTTTCGAAATACACGTTTTCTTTTTTTCATTTTTTTTCAGTTTTTCACTTTAAAAAAAAATGTTAAACAACTTTTTAAACAACTTTTTCAGCAAAAAATGTTAAACTTAATGTTAAACAAACCATCAAGTTTTATTACAGAGTATATATTACAAAAATTCCGCATCTTTTTAGACTACCCCTAATGTGTGCCGTAGCAATGCCCGACTTGAGAGGAGTATAATTTACAATTTTTCCCGCCTCATATCGCCGGCGGCAAAGGACCAACTTCAAAAGGGCAGAAGGAACGCCGGCGGAGGCACATTCTCTAATCTCTACTCACACACGAGAAGAAACACTCATCGGGCAAATGAATAGAATGGACACTGAAGACCACTCAGAGAAATTGCAGAAGTACCTGGAAAAGCACCACTCCGAGCAACTCCAATCCATCACTCTAGCTCCGGATCACCGCCTTCACTACCCCCTCCATGTCGAGTAAGCGCCCTCCATTACTCTCCCCATCCTTACGCTTGCATCCCAATCCATGTTCTGGACCTCTGGTAACCTCACTCCTTATCAGTTTTGCAGGGGTTATGGACGAATACCCCCATATTGCTCAACTGATCTTCTCACAACCCGATGATTATCTATTGCTTTTCGACGAATCTGCCGTTTTAGCGCAGGTAGAAGTTTGTTAATGGTAACGCCTTCATGATTGACCATTCCCACTCAATTATGATTTTTGTCTCTTTTAATTAGAAGAAGGTACCTAGTCAGTTTGGAGAAGCTCGTTTTAAGAGCCACATACATGTCCGAATTAACCCCTGCGGTTCTCCGCTTGAATGTCCAGGTTCGTTTTCCCCTTCATTTCATTCTAATGTATGCATTCAGCAGTTTCAATAAGAATTCGTTTTTCTTTTTTCGTATTAGAAACTTTTCCAAGCATTGGACTTGTGCGGGTTAAGCATAGAGGGATTCTTCTCACGCTCAAAGGGACTGTAATTAGGTCTGGGCCTGTGAAAATGATTGAAGGGGAGAAGTTGTACCAGTGTCGGAGATGTAAACACAGGTTGCTTTTTAATTGTTCTCTCTGAATAGAAGTTGCTCAATATAGGACTAAAACATATACAAAGTTCAAAAATAGGACTAAGTATGTTTTATTCCCCAAATAAGACTTATTTAGTCCTATTAATAAAATCAGTTGATTAAAACTTCCCAAACTAGGACTGAATGAGTTCTATTTTGGGAATAAAATAATGATAGTCGTATTTATGAACATTATCCATGTTTTAGTCCTATTTAGGGATTTTGTCGATAGGCATTTTCTTGTTTTACTTCGGGAAATCTAAAGAAAAATGAAAAGTCATAAGTTTTTTAATTTTATGCACTTACATTTCGTTTTTAGTGTCTTTATAATAGAAAATAAATCGAATGAGTTTAAACAATTTATCTATCATGGAGTATAATTTTATTGTTTTTTAGAATATATTTTATTTTCCTCCAACATTTCTTTTCTTCCAATTCCACTCCATTTTTTCCTCTCTATTCTCTTCCTATGGTATATTGCCCTTTCCAAACAGAGACTCTGAACTGGTAGGTTGGAAGGACACGACACATATTCACTTACCTTTGCATGAGATGAATCCTTTACTTATTTTTATTTATTCAACTCATTTTAGCACAACACATTGACTTACCTTTTATAATTACATGTGTGCCCAATGGATTCTCAGTGGTCTTCACCTAAGTGGATAACATTTTCAGGTTCAGAGTTTATCCTGAGGTGGAAACTCGAAATTCCATCCCCAAGCCTACATCCTGTCCATCACAGGTCTGGTATTTTTAATATAATTACTGCGAGTAGTAAATAGCACTTTCAGACATTAGAGTTGTTCAAGTTTTGATACATGTACAGTTTATACTAAACATTGACATTCAGTACCAACAGAAGAACACCCCTTTTCGAATGTCTTTTTTGTCTGCTACTTTTTTGTTCTATTGAATCTGTTATGCGCTTTTGGTTATGATTGTAAGCATCACCCAAGAGTACTATAGATTGCTTTGATGTTTATTTCTATATTACTCTCTTATTAGTCAATTAGCATTGAGTTTGTATTACCTCTTTCTTAACCCTAACCACTTGGAGATTTACTGCATTTTCACATGTTTTTGTCCCATTTTATCATTGCTTTTGGTTCCACATTTCCTATTACAGAAGCCTAAATTTTGTGAAAGCACAAATTTCCAGCTTGTGGAAGATAGCATGGTTTGCCGTGATTATCAGGAAATTAAAATCCAAGAAAGCACCCAAGTGTTGGGTATTGGAGCTATCCCTCGTTCCATTCCTGTTATCATGAAGGATGATCTCGTTGACATGGTTAAAGCTGGAGGTACTATTTTTCCACCTAGCATGGCAAAAATCTATAGTTTCCTGGATTATTATACAACATTCTTTGACAATCCCAACTTACTGATGTATTGTATTTTTTTTCCAGACGATGTTATTGTTACCGGGGTTCTCAAATCCAAATGGTCAGCAGATTTAAAAGATGTTCGCTGTGATCTTGAGCCTGTATTAGTTGCTAACCATGTGAGGTAAATGAGGCTTTCAGTTAATTCAACACTATGAAAGTTTCATAAAATGAATTATTTGCTAGCTGTCTTTAAAATATTTCTTGATAAATTTATATAGATATGATAAATATCTCTAATGTTTCTATGTTGTGTAGATATGGAGTATGTACCACCTTATTCAAAGAGTACTGAGTAGTTCGATGGACAAAGAGAAACCATTGTCTAGATTATACCTCCTTTCATTTGTCAAAGCTTTTCTGTTTTTTTTTTCAGGAGAATAAATGAATTAAAGTCAGAAATAGACGTTCCGGATGACATTATTTATAAATTCAAGCAGTTTTGGCAAGAGTTTGAGCTTTCCCCTTTAAAAGGTACACATACTCCACCTTATAGTATCATGTTTATTGTAATAATTTATCTTGACTATTTTCTTTATCATTGTCAAATATAGGTAGGAATGCCATTCTAAGAGGTATTTGTCCGCAGGTTTTCGGACTTTTCACTGTCAAGCTTGCAGGTTTTATTCTTGTCGCTGTTGTCTTTTGTAAACTTATTTGAATCCAAGTGTAGTCAAACCACGAGGTTGCCACTATCAGCAATTACATGCTATGTGGACTTGTTTGGATTTGGACTTATTAGCAGACTATTGCGAATAACTCTCAAACCTCTTTACATGTAATATTGGTGGAGTTTATATCTGATCATTGTGATGTAGTTGCATTGACACTTGTTGGAGGGGTAGAACACATTGATGCTTCTGGAACAAAAGTAAGGGGAGATTCTCATTTGCTCCTTGTTGGTGATCCTGGTAACTTCTACATATACTATCGACTATTGCTATCTTAAAATTATGATCTGGTTTACATAAATATTATCATCACCTTAATCCCAAGTTCCCAACTGTGTTTTCATGGTGCCGTGAAATTTGGTGTCATTAATTGTCTATCAATAATTAACACTAAAATTCATGTAAAAAGTATAGTGACACCTTTTTATACATCCATTTAAAGGATGGATGATGTGATGAAATTCCATATCATCACTTTCACATGTTTTTTATACATGCAAAAATGATATCATGGAACCACAATGAGCTAATAAAGCTGTTTTAGTCATTTTGCATGCCATATTGCAAAATTGATACAGTAAAATAAACGTATTCATCAGGAAACACCACTGGTTTACAAAATTTGTATAAAAAATGTTTTTATTTCAGTAGTATTGGTCTTTTAGTTTAAGCTGAATAATGCTCTAAGGTTATTCAAGCTTTATAATTCAACCAGGTACTGGGAAATCACAGTTTTTGAAGTTTGCAGCCAAATTGAGCAATAGATCTGTAATTGCTACTGGGTTGGGAAGCACAAGTGCTGGATTAACAGTTACTGCAGTTAAAGACGGAGGTAAAACAATTTTCACTTCATGTTTTATTAGATTATTAGTTACTAGTCAGAGAATATGGATAGAGTTAACATCATAAGTACTTCCAGGGGAGTGGGTTCTAGAAGCTGGTGCTCTTGTTTTAGCGGATGGTGGTCTTTGCTGCATTGATGAATTTGATGGGTAAGCTCATGGGCCATTCATTGTTAGTTTCACTCTAAGAACTCAAAGAAGTGTTTCAGATAAGAAAAAACATTTTGAGTGGGTTTGTAGAACTGATAGCATAGGTTGCAGCAGATGTCTTTAATTTCAACCTAATCTAGTTCTTGTGGGTAGCATGAAGGAACATGATAGGGTTACCATCCATGAAGCTATGGAGCAGCAAACTATAAGTGTTGCAAAGGTAGATTATCATACCAAAATTAGTGCCAATTAATTATCAAAAATTTGATAACACTGTCAAGTGTCAATTCATGCACAAAAAGTGTCAAAGTTTTACGTTGAATGCACGTGTCTCAACTTACCATTTCATTGTTTTGTTATATGTAAATACTTCATTGGCCGATTAATATAAGCACTACATATCTTCATAAAATTTGTAGGCTGGTCTTGTAACAACTCTGAGTACGAGGACAATTGTATTTGGTGCAACAAATCCCAAAGGACATTATGACCCTCAGCAGTGTATCTTTTCTTCTGGCCTGAGCATTTGTTCCTTTTGCATCTTCTGACTCGTTGGACAGTTAAAAAATATAGCTTTAATTGGTTTTATATGGGTACATTTCATACTATCATTTCCTTAGCAGAAGCTAGCCTTATCTGTCAATACTACTCTCTCTGCACCATTGCTAAGCAGATTTGATATTGTCCTTGTTCTACTAGACACTAAGAACCCCGAATGGGATGATGTTGTTTCATCGCACATACTTGAGGTGATGAATATTATAACTAACATAATTGCTTGGTTAGTTGTATGAAACATTTCAATGACCTGTATTTCACCATTTGACAGGCAGAAACAAAGAGCTGCTATTCTGAGGAGGATCTGCATAATATATGGCCACTTCCTATGCTTAGGCGGTAAAACGGGTTAAAAGACCAATTTTGATTTCAGAAATTAGTAAAATTACAAAATGTGTCAATCCTAATATACTTTATGAAAAAGATGAATCTTCTATGCCTCATATTATCATACACTTATTAAGCTCAAGGAAATCTTGACAGGTATATCCACTTTGTGAAGCGAAATTTTCAACCAGTCCTCTCCAAAGAGGCAGAAAAAGTTATTTCAAGCTATTACCAACTCCAAAGACGATTTGCAACTGAAAATGCAGGTTGTGGTAGCAATATGTTAAATGTCACTAGATGGTAAAGTGGGACCTATACTGCCTAGTTGGTGGTTAATCAAGATTAGGCAGGTTGGCATTTTATGAGTGGCATTAGCGTGGGGCCAAGCGGGAACATATTTAGTCGCTCAAGGAGAGCCTTTACATTTTTAACAATAATGAGTGGTAGATGACCATTTGGTTTCTCATATTCTTATTGTGGCTTTTCTCTATGGTGCGTGTGGAACCCAAAAATTACTTGGGAGTAGAGTAAGGAATACAATTGGAAGGTATTGAAAATTGGGTGGAAATTAAAGATATGCTCAAACTCAATTAATTTACTTTATATGCTGTTTGAACTCATTTTAATGATTTATTTCCATTATATACACTAAAAGTACAAATATTTGCTAAAAAGGTTTCATGAAAACAAAGCATTTTTCTTGGTAAAGCTCAACACATTAGAATGTATAGTAACATTACTTGGCATTTGTTATCCTTCCTTGTATTAACATAAAGGTGAACTTTTGCAGCTAGGACAACGGTGCGCATGCTGGAAAGTTTGATACGGCTTGCTCAAGGTACAGCTTATCAGATCTACAGAGTTGAATGGTCTTTTAATCTAATTCTTGAACTGATTAAGATGTGAATATTATTGTAGCACATGCAAGGCTGATGTTCAGAAACGAGGTGACTCAACTGGATGCCATCACAGCTATCTTATGCATCGAGTCCTCCATGACTACCTCAGCTATTGTGGATAGTGTTGGAAATGCTTTGCACTCCGATTTTGCAGAAAATCCTGATGAAGAATGTATACCACTCCCACCTTTTCTAAACAAATATGACTAATAGATTACTTGGCAAAACTTTAAATTTTTGAAGTTGCTAAACTTGTGGTTAAGATGATTGAATCTCCTGAGTTATCTAAAATGTATTTTACTAAATACATAGGTAGGAAGTAAAGTTAAGAAAATACTAACTGTCTATAAACAAAGTTTCACTTTGATTGGGCATGAAGTTCAAGAAACTGAAAACTAAGCTGGTGTGATATATTGAGAATAGATGTAAAAATAATATGAACACCTATTATTTTCCTTGAAAAGAAACGAGTGAAAATTTTGTGATAAGAAAGCAAAGTGAAGGTTTTTAGGGATGGAATAGCCAATTTCATCCATTTCAGTCAAAAAAGTAGTTATGTACTTTTTTCTGTAAATGCCAAAACTAGCTAGCGGAGTGAAAACTGTACTGGTTCCTTGCAGTATTAAACTGGTTCCTTAGCATTTGAAGATTACTAATCCCTGACAGGAAAAAATGTACAGATGCCAAACAAGATACATTAATCTTAGAGAAGTTGAGTTCCATGGGTGAATTTCCAGATGTAATCTCCACTGATCGTTGAGCAAAATAACGGGCAAGCTTATCATGCCACTCAAAGTAGCAGTCTCAAAGAGAACATCTTTTCTTCTGCTTCCTATTTTTTTGTTTTTTCATTTCCATATCCACTGAGCCTGTGAATATAAATGTATAACGCTCAAGACAAATCGTTCTTATATTTAAGAAATCATATGAAAATAGGGAGAACTATCAAATAAGTCATCGAACTTTCATAAAAAGTGCAAATAAGCCCTTTTATAGGAGGCTTTGTCCTGCTGTCTCCATTTGTGGCGGTTTCTGGTGGAAGATTTTGATGAATTTTTTTGTGCATATTCTTCACTAAGTCTAGTTTACCCATACTGAATTTCAGCTAAAAATTCAATCGAGAAGGCAGTCGAATGATTTTCGGAAATATACTGCGCTGCCTAACTGCGCACTTATCTTCAAAAAATCATTTGACTTCCTTCCCTATTGAATTTTTATGTGAAATTTGGTATGAGTAAACTAGACTTAATGAAGAATATGTTAAAATAATTTCATCAAAAAATTTCACCGGAAACCGCTCCAAATGGTGACGGCCGGACAGAGCCTCCTATAAAAGGGCTTATTTGCACTTTTTATGAAAGTTCAAGGGCTTATTTGATAGTTCTTCCTATGAAAATATTCATATGAATGTGTACTTATGGGTAATCTACTGTTCTATATCCTGGGTTAATCCCACTACGTCCTAAAACAGTAAAAAGGCCTAGAATTTTCTTCCCGCCAAATAAGTTATATTCGAGCAAAATAGATTGCTACTACTACTGCTACAATTATTAGGAAAATGCCCCCTGCCGAGTCAAACTAAACTAATTGTATCTTACTAAAATATTAGTGTTGTACACTTGTACCTTGCCAATATTTGACTCTTTTTTAGGGCATACAGAATTAATTTAAGTTGTGCGCCATGCGCATAAAATAAAAATGCATGCAACTCCTATTATTTCTTAAAAACATGAAGTCGTGAACTTTATGTCTTTATGTGAGGAAATGTTTACTATTTTTCATAATAAAGTCATCTCCCAGTTAAGTATTATTCGTGTAAAGAGCAATTGTTTTATGTGCCGAATAATAAATCTCAAGAGAATAAAATTACATTCTGAAAATGATCACTTTTTATCTGTTTTTTTCTCATTTTCGTGTCCATTGAACCTAAAAATGTACAAGCATATAATGCTTTATGTAATTGATCATATTTTTAACATACTACGTATTATATAAAAATAGTCATATGGATGTCTACTTATGGGTAATCTAGCGTGTTTAGTTTTTTAATCATCTCCTAAATCAATACTTTATCTATCCTAAAATGGGTCTAGAATTTTATTTTTTGTCCCAAATAAATTATATTTAAACAAAATAAGTTGTCACCGTTACTACTACTACTACAAAAATGGCCCAAACAAGTAGATAATGCTGAGTGAAACTAAACAAACAAATTTTACATGTTGTTGAGGTTTATTCCTTCAATACAAAGGCCCAACACGGTTCCCTTGAGTTTCGAGTGGAGAGTTTTGGTGGATTAGAATGTAAACAAGCAAAGATGGATCAAATATTCAGTAACAAGTGAGTTGTATCTTATTAAATGATAATAATGGTCCATATACAACACACTTCAACTACTAGCCCCGATGCTGTTTGTCTATCTCACTACTACGAGCTAAGATAATTGCTATATGCTAAGAGTAATAAGTTGTCAACCCTTTACAAGGAAATAACTGTTACTACCTCCGTTCCCATTTTAACTTCCAAATGGGTTTGGCACAAAGTTTAAGATAGTGGATATTGTGTGGTGGAGAGTTGTGCAGAGGAGAGAGAAATGTGTAAGAAATGTTGTGAACCACAAATTCTTTACCAAAAAGGGAAAGTGGAAGTTTTAATTGGAACAGACGAAAAAAGAAAGCTGGAAGTTTATTTAGGAACGGAGGGAGTACTATTTATATTACCAAGGGGTAGGTGGTGTTGCTGACGTGGAGTGCTGTGGATGACAAGTTCCAAACCACCAAATCTACTGCATTAAATGCGTCTCCCGCCAATATCTTGATTTCCTGCCATGGTACCTGGACGAGCGTTCATGTTTTAGCCAAATTTTGATAAACTAAAACTAATTAGAATAGAAATTGTATATTGATCGGGTTTCGTACAAGAACGGTGAGGAAAATGACAAGAGCAACAAGAAGGATGTTAAGTGAGCAAAATAGAAGGTATATTGATCTGTAATTCGAATGAGGGGTCCCCTGATTACATAGAGCTTGGTTCTATTTATAAGAGAGATACTTAATGCCTTTTTGTTTGTTGTTGACGGTTTCGACCGTTATGACGACATCAAAATCGTCATTATGTCGTCATAAATTCTGGTCAGTCATTTGAGTAACCTACGTCATAATTACAAAAATAACTCTCATAATATACATGAAACCGCTAGAATTAATCATCTAGCATTAATTCTAATAAATACATCATTAATTGCCCCGGTCAAGCTTTCCATATTGTCAAATTCCTGCACTAACAGTCCCCCGATATGAGCTCCTGGATGTGGAAGCTCAAGGGCCGGGCTTCGCGCGGCTCATGCCGATTCTCTATCCGAGGGCCCTACAATGATATCTGGCACTCGTTGGGCAAAGACCAATGAGGCTGAGCGTCTTGACGGCATCCTGGTGGAACATGGTCAAGTTGGGCTTAGTTCATGCCAAGGACAAGAATTCGTATGGCTGGCGCGTACCGCAGTCGAGGATCTCGGAATATCATCGGGTCCTTGTTGGGCCCTGGACTCCTTGGACGAGCGTCTGCCAAGTTCCTCCGCTGGGTCGTACCCCATTTGGGCCCTGATGGTCCCCATGTTTAGTGGGTAATGGGCTGACCTGCTATTGTCAAGTGATTGTGCCTTATTAAAACAAGTATTGTACCGTGCTGATATTTAAGACTTTGTGTGGAATACAAAGAATTAAACGGTATAGTCGTGCACCATGTACATCTCTACAACATCTACAATATTATAAGTGTGAACAATGTCAGGGGTTAAGGTGCTAAAAATGTTGGTCTCTCCCTACATAATCTCGTTGTACTTGATACTTATTTTGTTGCACATCGTTAACCTCCTTGCAGCTTTCATTACTAACGAAGACACTTCGACCGTTATATCCTTGATGATGCATTACAGATTTAATTTTATCCGGATATTGCGTTCCATTCATACCAAATTCCTCAGCTGTTTTATCTCTACTTCATTTCATTTATTTCCTATCATTGAAACCCGATACCTTTTCACCTCCTCTTCTGCGTTTCAGCGGCTCAGCATTTCTCGGCTCCATAGTAATGGCTTCTGGACATCAGTTTAGTTACTCAAAGGTCCTATCATCACTTATTAATACTCTGTGGCAACTGTTCAACAAATTTCCCATTTCTTGCCTCTTGTGCTCTTGTAAGTTTTTCTCTATTCAAACAATTTACATTGTATCGATGCTTTAGTGTTACTGCTCTCATCATTTATGTTTCAAATCACTTGTTTATTTACTTGCGCATTCGTATGATTAGTTACCTGTCCATGGAGATTTTTGTGTGTTTTCGTGTATTCATTTTTGCGGCCTCCCAAGTCCCTCCGAGGTTCTACTTTACGGGCTCCTAAAAGTGTTTGTGCCATCTATGTGTTTGTTTAAATGTCCACATGAAATCAAGTAACTTGTTGTCCTCCAACCTCTATTTGCACCTACCCTGATTTATTTTGGATTTTGCAATATTGTGCCTTACCAAACCAGTAACCATATGCATTATGGCAATCTGCTATGTATTTAGAACACATTTTAAAAGAGCATTCAAATTAAAATAAGAATCATTGAGAATATGGTACTCCATTTTTTAAAACTCACGCTTTATTGTTTGCACACTTTTGTTCCTATTGGTGTTTTTCTCTAACGTTTTACCTTATTTCCCAATTTTATAGGAGAAACTTAAAGCTCTCACAGGGTACATGAAAGCCACAAACTTCTGGATATATTGAGGTAGATAAATGAATGTGATGTGGCATAATGCTTTTAATAAATGACGCATGTCAAGTTCAACCACTTAGTTTGTTTATAATTTTAGTTATCAAAGTTGTACTTTTGTACATATTTTTATTATCTGTCGTTAGTTTGTATTAGTGCAAACACATTCGGAAGGAGCAAAAAGTCACAAAGATGATGCCCACACTAAACGAGAGGAAGAGACCCGTTGTTCCAACCTCTCCATCTTGCATTGTACTAAGCGAGGAAGCAAGAGACTATGAACTAAAACATAACTACTTCAACGCTATGCCTCAGTTTCATGGGCACTCGGGGGAAATCCACTGAACTTTATTACGAAGTTCTATGGGTTTATTCAGGGGATTTCAAGGAATAAGCTCGCTGAAGACGATCTCAAGCTCAAATGCTTCCCCTATACTCTCAAAGGGCAGCAAGAGGATGGTTTCTAGAACAAGCTCCGACTAGCTACACAACTTAGGAAGGTATTTACAATGCCTTCATGTCTAAATACTACACGCCTACCATGACTCAAGAGATTGGACAACGCATTTTCAATTTCAAACAACAAAACGGTGAGCTCTTTCAAGACGCATGGCGGCATTTCAAATCAATGCTAAGGGAATGTCCACACCACCGCATTCCCCTTGATCTTCAAATTGACACGTTCTACAATGCTTTGAATGCACATTGTCAAGCCATTGTAGACAACCGAGCCGAGGGCTACATTGGAAACAAGAATGAAACGGAGGCACTCCGAATCATTGAATCCATTGCCTCGAATCCTCAACTTCAAGGAGGTGATTACAAGGTGGCCGGGATGAATGAAATCTCTATCACAATCGAGATCAACAAAAGGCTCGAACAAATGGAGTCAAAAATTGAGCAGAAATTCCAAACGGCCCGCCAAGCCGTATTGGTAGGTGTCAAGCAAATAGCTAATGTGGAGAGCATTCAAAGCCCGAAAAGTGATTTATCTCAACATCTTGAGGAGGTAAATTTCATGAACTCTTATAGGAACCTAGGGAAACAATAATTCTTCTAATCAACAAAGGTGGAACCAAGGGAGCAATCGATTCAGTTTTAATTGAAGACTGGATTTCAACGATCACCGAAGATTTTACCAAAACAAGATCCTGGAGAACTGAATGTGTATACTATTTGGGTCTTCAAATGAAACATTGATAGTTGAAGGACATTTTAAGATCTACTTTGGATTGATGATAAGTTAAGAACAGAATCTGCTCATAATATACTTTTTACAAGTGTTTTTTAAAGCGTATATTTGAAGCGAAACAGTGCAAGGTTTTTAATTGAATCATAATACTAAAATTTTGTTAATTACTCTATACGAATCAAATAGTCATAGGCTTGAATTTTACCACTAAGCGGTTTTTACCATTAATGGAATGAAGTAAGTTGAAGTTAAAGGTACCAAATCGAAATTTGAACACCCCAAATTTGAAGGTTACCCAAATGTATTATAGTCAATTAGGAGCACCGATGGGAGATGTGGATAGCAACAGGGTGGGTCGTGTTTACATATCCTTGTATTCAACCCTAATTCGGAGCACCTAATTTTGGGCAGCCTAAGGAGACCACCATGGAGGATATGATGCAATCCATATCCAAGAGTGATGGATAGCGTACCCGGGGGGTAGCTTATCCGAGGGGTTATTGCTCAGAATAACTTAGAGAGAAGTCAGAGCATAAGTAAGTAAGAGA